AAAGTTGAGAGGGTTACGGCAGAAAATGGATGCACTTCGTGTACAAAATGGACAATCTCTTTTGAAGTATTAGGGTTTCGGACGAAAACTCATATGTTACAAAGGATTTCATTTTATTGAACTTATTTGAACTCCAGACTTTTTGTGCGTTCAAAATGCACCATTCAAAGCCACATCATCAATTTTCAACCCTTTCTGACTCCATTTGGTATTTTTCATGCATTTACTGATTTTTTGAGCTAAATGACCCTGAAATTGAAAAGCACTACAAATGTACTCTGAAAAGGTTGAAAGTTGGCATGGTATCATCATTTCACCCACATAGCATGTGCTAAAAAGTTGAGAGGGTTACGGTAAAAACTGGATGCACTTCGTGTGCAAAATGGACAATCTCTTTCGAAGTATCAGGGTTTCGGACGAAAACTCATTTGTTACAAAGGGGTTTCATTTTTTTGAACTTATTTGAACCCCAGACATTTTGTGTGTTCAAAATGCACCATTCAAAGCCACATCATCTATTTTCAACTCTTTCTAACTTCATTTGGTATTTTTCATGGATTTACTGATTTTTTTAGCTAAATGACCCTAAAATTCAAAAGCACTACAAATGAACTCTGAAAAGGTTGAAAGTTGTCATGGTATCATCATTTCATCCACATAGCACGAGCTAAAAAGTTGAGAGGGTTACAGCAAAAACTAGATGCACTTCATGTACAAAATGGACAATCTCTTTCGAAGTATCAGGGTTTCGAACGAAAACTCATCTGTTACAAAGAGATTTCCTTTTTTTGAACTTATTTGAACTCCAGACTTTTTGTGTGTTCAAAATTCACCATTCAAAGCCAAATCATCAATTTTCAACCCTTTCTGACTTCATTTGGTATTTTTCATACTTTTACTTTTTTTGAGCTAAATGACCCTGAAATTGAAATGCAGTACAAATGAACTCTGAAAAGGTTGAAATTTGGCATGGTATCATTATTTCACCCACGTAGCATGTGCTAAAAACTTGATAGGGTTACGGCAAAAACTAGATGCACTTGGTATACAGATCATACCTATAGCATGATACAAACCATTATTCCGAAAGCCTGTGCAGTCGTAGTGCTTGATGACTAGAGCTTCATTTTGAATATTGTACTTCCTCCAGTCCTTTTTAGTCTGCATATAAGTTTTGTCCGAAGTCAACGTATCTCTACTTTGATCAAACTTATAGAAAAAAGGATTAACATTAACGATGCCAAATCAACATTGTTTGATTCATTATGAAACATAGCTCCATAGTATATATATTGGGTAATATAGATATTGATATTTTTTAATATAAATTTGGTCAAACTTTGTAAAGTTTGACTTGACACAAATCTAATACACGGATTAAAAAGGAACAGAGGGAGTACTGTATAATTGAAGTACCATCACATTTTAGTTTGTGGAATGCGCCTGTGTGACAATCTTGATAGAAGCTATACATAGTTTTTCTTGGAGTTTGATTGCATAGTATTAGATATCGCCGTTAATTTCCATCTCTTGCCAGACATTTGGTTTTCCTCTTCATTATCTTTATTAGGGATGACCAACCGGGTTGGACAAGACACTTAATACTATTGCGCAAGGTGGAGGATGGGGAAGATAACACGGAGGATAAAGGGTCATGGAAGGAAGTAGAGTGTCGCATCAAGAATAGGGAGGGGAGAGTCTGACGATGAGATGCATTTATCTACAACTTAAGGACCATGATATATCATCACATGTGAATAATCTATGACTCATGTCACGTGATATTTTTCTTTGCACACATATTTTGTTAGCCCATGGCAATACACGGGAACTATACTAGATATTATTAGGTGAAGATGGAGATCTATATATCTCTACTCCTAATGTCTGAGTTGGTGAATAGTCTCCATAGTTTTTTGCTGGGTTTTTCCGTCCCCATTCCCACCACCACTCTCCACACCGGTTTATTTTTCTTTCCACTCCCTTTTACCAAAGTAGCACTTTCCTAACACACAAAAATCACGGACTAAACTTTCCTAACTTATCTGAATCAACCGATCTCTCTGATTAATGCAATTTATTTTTAGGAAATAAATAATGGATTTTCTGGAAACAAATAACAGATTTTCTAGAAATTAACATGTAAATCATGACAAATAAACCTCCACATCGACAGCTGCCTCCTCTATGTAACCTCGGGCCAGATCCCCTCCATCCTCAACCTCACTTTCGCCGCCTCCTCCTCTTCATGTGACCATGCAACTCCGCTCCCTAGCGAGACGGCCTCTCGATCGACGTTGCCGGAGAAGATGTGGAGACGGTGGCTCCGTTCATGGAGGAGTAGGAGGAGCGCCACCACCAACCACCGTGAGATCGCCTTGGTCCCCATGTCCTGGACACTCGGAAGCTGTACCTCTTCCTAATTACCCTTGCGCATGTGCGTAGGGTTCCTTGCGCCTCTACCGCACGGAAGCTCATCGACCAGCCCCGCCCCCTGCCGCCTTCGCCCGCACTGGAGTGGATCCTCATCGCGGCTGTTGCACATCAACGAGCACCTTGCCTCTCCCACACCGTCGTCCGCTTCGCCCCATAGTCTCTTCTCTTCTCCTAATAGCTAGCCATGATATCGAGCGATTGGTGGTTTGTGATGGATGACTATCCTTTGTTTCTCTTGATTGGATTTGGTACAGCCGTACAGGGGTGGACTATCTTTGAGATCCTGCGGTACATGCCGGAGCATAACTGGTCGGCGTACGAGGAGGCCCTCAATGCGAATTTGGATCTTGCCAAGATGATAATCAGTGGCGTCGTCTACTCCCTCGGCGACTGGATAGCACAGGTGCCAATCCAATCCAATTCCCCCTCACTGACTGACTGTTTTACTTTTGCATCCCCTTTCTGCTGCTGCGATAGCTAATTCGGTTGTTCTTGTTTTGTGTTGCTCCTGCTTATTTACAATGTTATGAAGGGAATCACATCTTCGAGTTTGACCGTACCCGTATGTTCTGGTCTGGCCTCGTAGGGTTCACCCTCCATGGATCCCTTTTGCACTATTACTACCATTTCTGCGAGGTACCCATTGTGGTTCTTAGCCTGACCCATAAATGTTTGTTTGATGTTTGATACGGTAACTAACATGAATGCATCAGATTTTCTTGCATCAGTCGTTGTTCCCGTTCAAGGATTGGTGGGTTGTGCCTATCAAGGTTCCGGCTTTGTCTGCGTTGTGGAACAACATCTACTTTGTCGCCCTGGGCTTCCACTACAAAAAATATGTCAACTTGTGACCTTGGCTATTGGTCACTAAATGGTCATTATTTTCCATTTGTGACCTTTTTGTGACAAAAAACAGATGGTCAAAAGCTGGCGGTCGTAAACTAAAATTAACTCGTAGATGTTTACGACCAAAACAAAAGGTTGTTGAACCAACGACCTTTTGTTTTGGTCACTATGATGTAGGGTGGAGCCCCAGGGGCCGATCTTTCACGTTTGGAGAGGATCCCTACGAGGAACACGAAGAACGCACAGAGGGGAACGAGGGAAACCACGGAGAGAATGCAAGAGAAAACACTCAACCAACACGAATATGATCACACATGTGCTAGATCATCGAGGTACAAAGTAACACGAGATCCAAAGTCAACAAAGGACGATACAAGGGTAACCGTTCTTCTCCGTGAGGAGGTCTTGATTGTCTTCTCCGGGTTGAGGTCTTGAATCCGGGTGGATCTTATCTGAAGAGGTGCGGTCCCTCACGAGGAGTAGATCCGATCGTATGAGCAATGCTCTATCTCAAATGAGCTAAACCAATTCTAACCCTAGAACGTAGGTGGAGGTGAAGTATATATAGTCTACAGGGCAAAGGGGTACGTGGGTCACGGCCGGGATGCGCTACATGCAGGCAGGAGGGGGGCGGATGTCCGGGCATCGGGCCGGATATCCGGGCGCTCGCGAGGGGCCGGATGTCTGGGCTATCGGGCCAGATGTACGGGTTGGTGGAGTTGGCCTTGCTGCTCTCTGGATGGACGGGGCCGGATGTCCTTGCGGAGGGGCCGGATGTCCGGGGCTTCGTGAGGCGTCGGATGTCCAGGGCTTCGGGAGGCGTCGGATGTCCGGGGTGACGGCCGGATGTCCGGGGTGACGGCCGGATGTCCGGGCTGTTGGGGAAGCCTTCTGTGCTCCCTGGACGGCGTGTCCGGATGTCCGGGCTGGCTGCCGGATTTCCGGGGTGGAGGGCCGGATGTCCGGGCCCTGTAGCTTCTGTTGCGGACCCGTGGCTGAGGGGTAGATCTCCAGGGGCCGTATGTCCGGGACCATGGCCGGATGTCCGGTGCCTGGAAGTTGTCCTTTCCTTCTTCCATTGGTTCTCTTCTTCCGTGGACTTGGTTGCTGAGCATCTTCATGTGCATCCTCGGGAGGGTCCTCTTGGTACCTAATCATGCACAACATTCCGGACTTAGGTAGTAGCCATGTCTCATGAGGATCACTAAGGAGAGAAGTCACATCAGTCTCGAGAGCTCTCGCTCGTGCTCTTGTCATGGGTCCTCTTGGTGCTTGGTGAGACGATGGTAGGTCCATGGGGGTGACCTAAGGATTCTCCGCATCATCTCCCCTCCCTTGGGAAAGATCCGACCTCGGATCAAAATCCTCATCACCATGGTACGGGGAGAGATCGTTGACATTGAAGATGTCGCTCACGTTGTAATTGTCGCGTGGGAGATCTATCTTGTAAGCGTTGTTGTTGTAGCGTGCTAGCACCTTGAAGGGTCCATCGGCTCGAGGTAGAAGTTTGGACTTGCGTTCGTTGGGGAAGCGATGCTTGCGAAGGTGTAGCCACACGAGATCTCCAATGTTGAATATCATGGGTTGCTTGTTGATGTTGAGCTTGGTCGCGAGTCGTCATACTTGGCGCTCAATGGTGTGCCTTGTATCCTCATGCATCTTCTTGATGTATCTTGCACGTGCACTCGCATCCATGTTGGTGCGCTCTTGTAGTGGTAGAGGTAGAATGTCCAATGGGGACAACGGGTTGAAGCCGTAGACGACCTTGAAGGGGAGCTTGCCGGTTGTCGAATGTCTTGCACGGTTGTAGGCGTACTCGGCGATGGGTAGACACTCCTCCCACTCCTTGATGTTCTTCTTGATCAACACGCGAAGTAGAGGGGAGAGTGTATGGTTTGTCACCTCTGTTTGGCCGTCGGTTTGAGGATGGTATGTGGATGAGAACAAGATCTTGATTCTGAGCTTGGCGCATAGCGTCTTCCAAAAGTAACTCAAGAACTTAACGTCGTGGTTGGAGACGATTGTCTTTGGTACTCCATGGAGTCGCAAGATTTTCCTACAAAAGAGATTTGCAACGTGTGAAGCATCGTCTATCTTGTTGCAAGGAATGAAATGTGCCATCTTAGAGAATCCGTCCATAACAACAAACACGGAATCCTTGCCATTTTGAGTTCTAGGCAAACCAAGTACAAAATCCATGCTAATGTCTTCCCAAGGTTGATAAGGATTAGAAAGAGGCATGTAAAGACCATGGGATTGAGCTTTAGACTTAGCTTTGCGACATGTAGAGCATCGGTTGGTGAAGCGTGAGACGTCGCGGAACATATTGGGAAAAGTAGTTCTTGGAGAGCATGGCGAATGTCTTGTCGCGTCCGAAGTGTCCCATGAGTCTGCCTCCACGAGCCTCTTGCAAAAGGAGCAAACGAAGAGAAGACTCAGGAATGCAAAGTTTGTTAGCTCTCATAAGATAATCATCCTTGATGTAGTATCGTTCCCAAAATGCATGCGTCAAACACTTAGCATAAGGATTAGCAAAAGAAGGATCATTCGCATACAAGTCTTTTATGTGCTCAAAGCCAATAACATTCAACTCAAGTTTAGTGACAAGAGTGCATATGCCTGAAAGTGCATCCGCAACTACATTTTCCTTACCCTTAATGTACTTGATCACATAGGGGAAAGATTCAATGAATTCACTCCATTTGGCATGACGCTTGTTCAACTTAGTTTGGCCTTTCAAGTGCTTAAGCGTTTCATGATCGGTATGGATGACAAACTCATGAGGTCTAAGGTAATGCTCCCAAACATGTAGCACACGCACTAAAGCATACAATTCTTTGTCATAAATGGGATAGTTAAGTTGAGCACCGGAGAGTTTTTCACTAAAATATGCAATGGCTCGTTTTTCTTGCATCAAAACTCCGCCAATTCCGGTACCACTTGCATCACAATGAACCTCAAAAGTTTTGTCAAAATTGGGCAAAGCAAGAATCAGAGCATGAGTAAGCAAAGATTTGAGATCATCAAAACCGGTGGATTGCAAAGATCCCCAAATAAAAGGAGCATTCTTCTTACTCAAGGCATGCAAAGGAGCGGCAATAGTGCTAAAGTCTTTCACAAAGCGGCAATAAAACCCTGCAAGACCAAGAAAGCAACGCACTTGTTGCAAATTCGTGGGTTGGGGCCAAGTTTTAATAGCTTCAATTTTAGATTCATCGACATGGACACCCTTGGAAGAAACGACAAAACCCAAGAAAACAAGTTTGTCAACACCAAACATGCACTTTTTCATGTTGGCATAAAGACGTTCCTTGCGAAGCGTTTGCAAAACAACCCTAACATGATTAAGATGCTCTTTCATGGATTTGCTAAACACAAGAATATCATCAAAGTAAACCACAACAAAGACTCCAATATAAGGTCGAAGCACAAAATGCATAAGACGCATGAAAGTTCCGGGAGCTTCCGACAAACCCATAGGCATAACCAACCACTCGTACAAGCCAAATTTGGTTTTGAAAGCGGTTTTCCATTCATCACCTTCTTGTATGCGGATTTGGTAGTAGCCACTTTTAAGATCAATTTTTGAGAAGATGGTGGCACCGCTAAGTTCATCAAGCATATGATCTAAGCGAGGAATGGGATGCCTATAATGAATGGTAATAGCATTGATGGGTCTACAATCGGAGCACATGCGAAAACTACCATCTTGCTTGGGCACAAGTATAACGGGAACGACACAAGTGCTTAAGCTTTCACGTACATGACGTTGTCGATTAGTTGTTGTACTTGCCGTCGGATCTCCTTAGTTTCTTCGGGGTTGACGCGGTATGGAGATTTGTTTGGTAGGGGCGTTCCGGGGATGAGGTTGATTCGATGCTCAATGCCTCATAGAGGAGGCAGACCTAGAGGTAGCTCATCGGGGAAAACATCTTGGAATTCCTGCAAAAGAGATTGAAACACTAAAGGTAGATCGTGAGAGGTGTTAGTTTTTGGTTCTCCATCCTTGCACACAAGGACAAAGTGCTTAACACCCGATGGGTTCTCGCACACTTCTCTCATCTCACTTTTGGTGTCAAATAGGACTAAGTTTTTCTTGTCGGTCATCGTGGAGGCACTCGATTTTGGCTTGTGGCTCTCACTCTCTTTTGGGTGGATCACTTTCTCACTCTTCTCTCCGCGATGGGTGGCTTGCTTGTCGGCTATCACTTGACTAGGAGACATAGGTTGTAGCACATGTTCCTTCCCTTTCATCTTGATGCTATAGTGACTGGTACGCCCATTGGATGACCCCGCGGTCAAATTGCCAAGGCCTACCAAGAAGGAGGTGGCAAACGTACATCGGGACGACATCACACTCCAAAGTGTCCTCATATGCACCAATTTTGAAGGAGACTTTGACCGTATGCTCAACTCGTATAGTGCCGGAATCGCTTAGCCATTGGACTTTGTATGGGTGCGGGTGCTTCATCTTGTCCAATTGAAGCTTGGAGCATAGTTCTTCACTTGCCAAGTTGTGACAACTACCTCCATCGATGATGACCTTGACGGACCTTCCATTAATGCCGACCTTTGTGTGGAAGATGTACTACAAAAAAAAGACACATCCGTGACATTTTGGGCCAAACAAAAAAAATTCTGTCATACATATGACACTTCTATGACGATAATTGTGACAAAACCCGGTATCATCATAGATGTGGTGGGATCCTACTTCCATGACAAAAAATCATGAGAGAAAATGGGCTTTTCATCCTGGGCGGGCCGGAGACGCAGCTGCATGACATTCTTTGGGCCGTCCATGACGGAAAAAACCGTGGTAGAAGCGAGGGGGAGGAAAATTTCGGGAAGTTGCTAGTTATGGTGGGAGGTCGGGGGGCGAGCGATGCGCGTTTCTAACTGAACCCGAGCGATTGGACTGCAAGCTACGCGTTACTGAACCCGAGCGATTGATCAATGGCTGTTAACTGAACCCGATGGAGCGATTCCTTCGCTACTGCTGCTA